GGCCGCAACACAAACAAGACCAAAAGAAAAAAAAAGAGAAACAAATGTCGACAATGGCAGATCGACGAAACGAAGATGGCCGGGAACCGTTGCACCCTCCGAAGAAGTACCACCGCGCTTCTAGCACTCCAAAGCGCCGCGTACCGAGCAACACCTTCAAGAAGGAGTGCGACGCCGCCGCCGCTGCTACCCAGACAAGTCCTAGGGTTTCCCCCGGTACGCAGAGGGCAGTGGGGAAGGGGTATACCCGACGCCCTTCAGGAAGGTCCGGCGGCGGCCACATGCGTCACCGCGTCGATGCCGGATGAGCCGCCAGGGATTTCTCCAAACCCAAACCACCACCCGGGACGATTCAAAGTGCACCACCAGACCTGCCGCCCACCAACATGTGCCACCATGGTCACCGAACCAACCTCGTCATCTTCCTGAGGCCACCGACACGAGACCTGGAGGAGGGACGAGGAGCCAACGAGCTCGGGGGCATCCGCAACTCAGCCGATGAGAGGGGACAACCACCGCCGCCGCCGCAGAGCCGACCGGACATGACGACAGAAGCTTACCAGGCCCGAACAGGCCCGACCGGGCCCCAAAGGGTCCGGACAACCCCTGCCATCATGTTGTAGCACATCGGCCGAAGGAGCCGCCATCACCCGCAGCCCCCGACTCTGCGCCACCTCCACCAGGGAGCCACGCCGCCACGCGCTGGCCCGCCCAACCTAGATGGGCCCAAAAGGGCCTAGATCTGCGCAGAGCGGATGCCGCCGGCCAGCCACACCACCACGCGCCCCGCGGCCAACGGCCACGTCGCCGCATGAGGAGTGCCCTCACCCACAGAACCCCGTGCCCCCACACGAGCGTGGAAAGAAGGGCCCGTCGCCGCCATCGCGCGGACCATGCCGACAACGGCGGCAGGAGGGAGCGGCGGGGGAGGAAGGCTGGAGGAGAGGACGGCGGCAGCGGCAGGAGGGCGCGGCGGCGGCAGGGGGCCGAGCGAGCGAAGCCGTCCAACTCTATAAAACCTCAGCTGAATATCTTCATAATGTAGGCCTCAAAGTCAATGGTTCTCAGTGGTAAGACCAAATTCGTCCGCTGTCACATGAAGCTTAGGGTTCCATGGTTGGTTCTCGAACTTGCCAGATGCCGACGCTGATGGGAAAACATTTTGCCTATTGCATAGGTCCTTTTATTGATTATTAGCATCCATAAGGACAAGACACACACACACACACACACACATGTATGATGCATATAGTCTACAACTTGCGATCGAGAACAACACTCCAGTTGTATATATGTCCGTCGATTGATCGTCTACATGAGGAGCCCCCTGGCTATGCGGCCGTCAGCGCCCTGGGGAAAGAAGCCGCCGGCCTGGGCGGGGCTTCCGGTGCCGTACACGATGCCGAGGATCTCCTCGGGCGTGCGATCGTAAGCGAGCGAGTAGCGGTCGCCGGCGATGATGTTCCCCACGGTCTGCCCCTCGGGCCCCTCACCCGGCGCCACCACTAGCCCCTCGTCCTTCACCCCCCTCCTCCCAAGCTCGTTCCGCAGCTCGGAGATGTGCGCGGTCACCTCCGCCACACCAACACCATAGCTCGCCACCCGCGACAGTCCGCGCTCGTACAGCAGGGCCCGGATCACCGCGTCCTGTGCGGATTCCACGCCCAGCAGTCCCGCCACCAGCTGCGTGCAATCAATCACAGAAGTACGACAAGTTAATTAGAGTATCACGTACATGTAATTAATGGGAATATCGATCAGTACGCATGCACGCATTTTGTGTGTCTGATCGATACGGCTGGTGGTAGGGTGATCACGCGTGTGGTGTAGCCTAGGTACGTACCCTTCTGGCCTGGGGAGTGAGGAGCTTGGGGTTGGCGCCGACGTAGCCGGTCAGGCCGACGTACGGGATGATGTAGGAGGCGATGAGGAAGTTGAGGCTGTTCTCGTAGGGGTTGAAGGGCGGGTCCAGCGTCGTGTTCATCGCCTGCTCCACGATCTTGCCGATGTTGGTCGCGCTGATGTCCAGCTGCGGCCGCGGGAATCCCCTCACGTTCTGCTTGATCGCCCTGCACAAACACACGCACGTACTGTTCATAAACGACATGCTAGTATGCTACTCTGCTACTAATATTTCTTGGTCGGGAGAGAGTCCAAGTGGCCGAATTGTGAGGTTAATTGCGTACGTACCTGAGGTGGCCAACTTCTTGGTAGCAGAACTGTGTGGCGACGTCTCGGACGAAGGGGGTGAGGGCGGCGGTCTGGCCACCGATGGGATGCGGGCCGCCGCCGGTGAGGTTGACGTCGATGCCATCGAGGCCGTAGCCCAGCGCCGACCAGCAGAAGAACTCCGCCTCCAGGTACTCGAGGTTCAGCGGGAACTCCAGCAGGTCCACGTCCGATTGTGGCAGCAGCGTGCCGCCGCCGCCGAAGAACCCGCGGTACCGTGCCCACTCGTTGTCCATGTCCTGCGCCCGGCAGACGCCGCCGCAGAGAGCAGCCGCCACCAAGGCGACCACCACGACGAAGGTGGCCGGCGCAGCCATGGCAATACTACTTGCAGCTCGTAGTATGATCACGAGTTGGGAGTTTGAACGCCAAGGATGATGGTAGGATCACTGATCTGCAGGTTTGGGGGACTTGACTTGTGCGTGTTCTCGTCCTCGCGATCGGCGAATGTAATATAGGCGGTGCGGCACATGCGGAAGGGGTGCAACGTGGAGCGTGACGTGGACGGGAACGGGAAGAGGAGTGGGGGTGGCGCGCCAAGGGTGTGGCTTCCGCGGGAGCTACGTGTGGCGTTGTTTAAACGGCAGGTCGCTGTTTCCTTTGTCTTGGAGGAAATTTGAGTGGGTCGACCATTACTCCATTGTGTGACGTTTTCTGTGCAGTTTTCTAGTTTTGGACCTTACCATGGGCTCCTGAAGCACACACAATGGTGGCGCAAATTAGACAAGTTCCCATACACGAAATGGGGCATGCGATGTGCGCTCAGAAAGAAAGGTAGGAAGGGCGAAGAAACAGTCACATATGCTTGCAAGGCATTATAGGACAGTGCTTGAAAGGAAACTATTAGCATGATGTAATACCTCCTTTTTAAGTTAGCAACGTGTATAACTTTTTTTGCGCAAAAAAAGTGTATAACTTTTCCCCCGAAAAAAAGCAAAGTGTATAACTTTTTAAACATGCATTCGTCCCTTAGGGCTTATTTGGTTTACTAGTTTTTCAAACCATAAGAATAGGAAAAGTAAATGATTAATAGGTCATGTCAGTTGAATCGAAGAATTCACCATGGAAAGTGCACCCCAATCTCCTAATTGGATTGATAATTAATGTCAACGTATCTTAAGGGACTTAGCCTTTTCATTTTTGTGATCCAAAACCATATTGAGTCAATTCTTTCTCAAATGTCCTTAAAGATCAAACTTCAAAATCTCACCGAAAAAGTGTTTTGGACGGTGTCACCAAAATGTCACAAGGGTGACGAGATTACATTTCGGTCATATTGTACAAAAAGTGTTGATGATTCAAGTGTTAGATGTTCCAAGTCTGATGGCCGAGCTGACAAACCTTCCTTCAGACATGCAAGGAAAAGGAAGGGTAAGGATGGAAACTCCTCTACCAAGTACTTGACATTGCCGACTGCAAGTCCTCCATCATGCACTCGAAAAATCCTTAAGATATAGACGCGGCTCTTTGAGGTTACCGTTCAGACACAACTCCACATGGTAAACACTTAGAATAAGGGACATTGGCGAAAATCAGTATTGGAAAGGGTTTTGAACAGACAAATACACTGGTAGATGGTTGGACTCTGATGAATCAACAAACATTAGACATCTGAAGAGGTGATATTGTGTGAATCACCCCCCCATAATACTCCCTCAGTTTTTATTTACTTCGCATATTAGCTTTGGTCAAAGTCAATCTTTGTAAACTTTGACGAAGTTTATACACAAAAGTATTAACATATACAATAACAAATCAATACACTTAGATTCATTATTGAATATACTTTCACACCATATAGATTTGTTATTATAAATGTTCATACTTTTTTCTATAAACTTGGTCAAACTGTATGAAGTTTGACTTCAGTCAAATCTAATATGCAGAGTAAATAAAAACGAAGGGAGTATTAGTTAGCATCCCTTGATCATTCATGGCACCCCAAACATCCGACTTCATTTTCCTATTGGAAAGGAAAAAAATAGTTCTAACATGAACTTGTTCACCTGCAATAGTCAAGAACTCTTGACGGTATCTAGCTGGAACAACGTGTTCATCCTGAATAACTTGATTTAAGGACAAAGAATTTCGTGATGGATGGTGTTGGACACATAAGAAACAACAACTGGACATCTCCAGTGGTGACTGCACTAGTGGTTGTTGATGGACACAAAAGAAACAATGACCAATAGATGTCTACAAAGGTGACTACAACCGCTCAGGCGTGGCTCCTTGAGTATATTGATATGTATATGCATTGTTGTAATATGAAAATGAAATGTGTATCAACAAAAGGCTATATTGAGACTACCCTTAAGATGTAATTCAACCGATATATAATTATGTTGGGTTAATGTATTGTTTAATCGTGTTGCGTATTATCGGTTGTTATACTTTGTATTTTTAATTAACTAAATGTACTAGGGACTAATAGAACAGAAGGCTTGTTACTAGTAAGTAAAATACCAGTGAAGATCTAATTTTGAAACATACCACAAGTGGAGTAGTTACTAGTGACACTCGCCTATTTTGCTAATTACTAGTAACTTCTTACCACTGGCGAGTTACCATTGACGGCTACTCTGCTCGTGAATAATGTGGAAAATGCACCCATCACTAGTAAGTTGTAGCAGGGGTCCTACATTGGCTTGTGTGCATGGGAGCCTTCAAGGTGTGAAGGACGAAGCAAGATGTTTGCACGAACCTAGAGACCTATTTGGTGAAGATCTACCCTGATTAAGGCTAGACTTTCATGGTCGTAAGCCTTGGTGGCATAGGCTGAGTGCTCCATTGTGGGTGTAGTTCTCCATGGACTTGTCCTCCATGGATCTGGTAATTATGGTCTTCATGATCCTAGAACTATTATGGTTTGAAGCCTCCATCAACATGAAGTAGGACAAGGCAAACTATCCGAATCACGGGAAAAATCTTATGCCATGCTCAGGTGATGGTGTCCTGGATAAGGAGGTGCTAACCATGTTGGCTCCCAGACATATGGGCTGGGATGAGGACTCTCAAAGTAACTGTTTTGTAGGCCATATTCGTCAGGCTCAGCATCTAGAGGGAATCTCCCCAAAGACTTGGCGCGTACTCCAAGACATAGAGGCGATCGTCAGAAAGATTACTCTTAGATGTAACCGATCTATGCATAACCCTAGGTACCCCGGTGTCAATACACGACGAGGGGTGTAGATCATAGAGTTGGGGAACGCAGTAATTCAAAAAAATTCCTACGATCACACAAGATCTATCTAGGAGAAGCATATCAACGAGCGGGGGGAGTGTGTCCACATACCCTCGTAGACCGAAAGCGGAAGCGTTTAGTAACGCGGTTGATGTAGTCGAATGTCTTCACGATCCAATCGATCCAAGTACCGAACGTACGGCACCTCCGTGTTTAGCACACGTTCAACACAATGACGTCCCTCGAGCTCTTGATCCAGTTGAGGACGAGGGAGAGTTCCATCAGCACGACGGCGTGGCGATGGTGATGATAAAGTTACCGGCGCAGGGCTTCGCCTAAGCACTACGACGATATGACCGAGGTGTGTAACTGTGGAGGGGGCACCACACATGGCTAAGACAAATCTTGGAGTTCCTTTGGGGTGCTCCTGCCCACGTATATAAAGGAGGGAGGGAGAGAGGCCGACCCTCCTAGGGGCGCGCCAAGTGTAGGGAGTCCTACTAGGACTCCTAAGTCCTACTAGGACTCCTAAGTCTTAGTAGGATTCCCTTTCCTTTTAGGAGTAGGAAAGAAGGAAAGGAGGGAGAGGGAGAAGGAAAGGGGGCCCGCGCCCCTACACCTTGTCCAATTCGGTTTGGGCAGGGGGAGGCGCGCGCCACCTCATGGCCCTTCTTCCCTCTATCCACTAAAGCCCAATAAGGCCCATTAACTTCCCCCGGCGAATTCCCATAACTCTCCTGTACTCCGAAAAATACCCGGATCACTCGGAACCATTCCGATGTCCGAATATAGCCTTACAATATATCGATCTTTATCTCTCGACCATTTCAAGACTACTCGTCATGTCCGTGATCTCATCCGGGACTCCGAACAAACTTTGGTCATCAAATCACATAACTCATAATACAAATCGTCATCGAACGTTAAGCGTGTGGACCCTACGGGTTAGAGAACTATGTAGACATGACCGGGACACATCTCCGGTCAACAACCAATAGCGGAACCTAGATGCTCATATTGGCTCCTACATATTCTACGAATATCTTTATCGGTCAAACCACATAACAACATACGTCATTTCCTTTGTCATCAGTATGTTACTTGCCCGAGATTCGATCGTCGGTATCATCATACCTAATTCAATCTCGTTATCGGCAAGTCTTTTTACTCATTCCGTAATGCATTATCCCGTAACTAACTCATTAGTCATATTGCTTGCAAGGCTTATAGTGATGTGCATTACCGAGAGGGCCAAGAGATACCTCTCTGATACACGGAGTGAAAAATCCTAATCTTGATCTATGCCAACTCAACAAACACCTTCGGAGACACCTGTAGAGCATCTTTATAATCACCTAGTTACGTTGTGACGTTTGATAGCACATAAAGTGTTCCTCCAGTATTCGGGAGTTGCATAATCTCATAGTCAGAGGAATATGTATAAGTCATGAAGAAAGCAATATCAATAAAACTAAACGATCATTATGCTAAGCTAACGGATGGGTCTTGTCCATCACATCAATCTTTAATGATGTGATCTCGTTCATCAAATGACAACACATGTCTATGGTGAGGAAACTTAACCATCTTTGATTAACGAGCTAGTCAAGTAGAGGCATACTAGGGACACTTTGTTTGTCTGTGTATTCACACATGTACTAAGTTTCCGGTTAATACAATTCTAGCATGAATAATAAACATTTATCATGATATAAGGAAATATAAATAACAACTTTATTATTGCCTTTAGGGCATATTTCCTCCAGTCTCCCACTTGCACTAGAGTCAATAATCTAGTTCACATCATCATGTGATTTAACACCAATAGTTCACATCTTTATGTGATTAGTTCACATCTCCATGTGACTAATACCCAAAGGGTTTACTAGAGTCAATAATCTAGTTCACATCGCTATGTGATTAACACCCAAAGAGTGATCATATTTTTCTTGTGAGAGAAGTTTAGTCAACAGGTCTGCCACATTCAGAGTTGTATGTATTTTGCAAATTTTCTACATCTACAATGCTCTGAACGGAGCTACTCTAGCTATTCGCTCCCACTTTCAATATGTATCCAAATTGAGACTTAGAGTCATCTGGATCAGTGTCAAAACTTGCATCGACGTAACCCTTTATGATGAACTTTTTGTCACCTCCATAACCGAGAAACATGTCCTTATTCCACTAAGGATAATTTTGACCGTTGTCCAGTGATCCACTCCTGGATCACTATTGTACCCTCTTGCCAAACTCATGGTGAGGTACACAATAGGTCCGGTACACAGAATAGCATACTTTATAGAACCTGTGACTGAGGCATAGGGAATGACTTTTCATTCTCTTTCTATTTTTTGTCGTGGTCAGGTTTTGAGTCTTTACTCAACTTCACACCTTGCAACACAGGCAAGAACTCCTTCTTTGACTGTTCCATTTTGAACTACTTCAAAATCTTGTCAAGGTATGTACTCATTGAAAAAACTTATCAAGCGTCTTTGATATATATATCTATAGATCTTGATTCTCAATATGTAAGCAACTTCACCGAGGTATTTCTTTGAAAAAACTCCTTTCAAACACTCCTTTATGCTTTCATGAAAATTTTACATCATTTTCGATCAACAATATGTCATTCACATATACTTATCAGAAAGGTTGTAGTTCTCCCACTCACTTTCTTGTAAATATAGGCTTCACCAAAAGTATATATAAAACCATATGCTTTGATCACCTTATCAAAGTGTATATTCCAACTCCGAGATGCTTGCACCAGTCCATAGATGGATCGCTGGAGCTTGCACACTTTGTTAGTACCTTTAGGATTTACAAAACCTTCTTGTTGCATCATATACAACTCTTCTTTAAGAAATCCATTAAGGAATGTAGTTTTGACATCCATTTGCCAGATTTTATAAAATGTGTCAATTGCTAACATGATTCGGACAAACTTAAGCATCGATACGAGTGAGAAAATCTTATCATAGTCAACACCTTGAACTTGTCAAAAAGCTTTTGTGTCAATTCGAGATTTGTAGATAGTAACACTACTATCAGCGTCCATCTTCCTCTTGAAGATCCATTTAATCTCAATGGCCTGCCGATCATCGGGCAAGTCAATCAAAGTCCATACTTTGTTCTCATACATGGATCCCATCTCAGATTTCATGGCCTCAAGCCATTTCATGGAATCTGAGCTCATCATTGCTTCCTCATAGTTCGTAGGTTCGTCATGGTCAAGTAACATGACTTCCAGAAAGGATTACCGTACCACTCTGGTGCGGACTATACTCTGGTTGACCTATGAGGTTTGATAGTAACTTGATCTGAAGTTTCATGATCATCCTCATTAGCTTCCTCACTAATTGGTGTAGGAATCACTAGAACTGATTTATGTGATGAACTACTTTTCAATAAGGGAGAAGGTACAATTACCTCATCAATTTCTACTTTCCTCCCACTCACTTCTTTCGAGAGAAACTCCTTCTCTAGAAAGGATCCATTCTTAGCAATGAATATCTTTCCTTTGGATCTGTGATAGAAGGTGTACCCAACCGTTTCCTTTTGGGTATCCTATGAAGACGCCTTCTTTGATTTAGGTTTGAGCTTATCGGTTTGAAACTTTTTCACATAAGCATCGCAACCCCAAACTTTTAAGAAATGACAACTTAGGTTTCTTGCCAAACCATAGTTCATATGGCGTCATCTCAACGGATTTAGATGGTGCCCTATTTAACGTGAATGCAGTTGTCTCTAATAAAGTAGGTAAATCGGTAAGAGACATCATAGATCATACCATATCTAATAAAGTACGGTTATGACGTTTGGACACACCATTACGCTGTGGTGTTCCAGGTGGCTTGAGTTGCGAAACTATTCCACATTATTTCAAATGAAGACCAAACTCATAACTCAAATATTCGCCTCCATGATCAGATCATAAAAACTTTATTTTCTTGTTGCGATGATTGTCCACTTCACTCTAAAATTCTTTGAACTTTTCAAATGTTTCAAACTAATGTTTCATTAAGTAGATATATCCATATCTTCTCAAATCATCTGTGAATGTCAGAAAATAATGATACCCACCGCGAGCCTCAACACTCATCGGACCGCATACATTGGTATGTATTATTTGCAATAAGTCAGTGGCTCGCTCCATTTTCCGGAGAACAGAGTCTTAGTCATCTTGCCCATGAGGCATGGTTCACAAGCATAAAATGATTCATAATCAAGTGATTCCAAAAGTCCATCAGCATGGAGTTTCTTCATGCACTTTACACCAATATGACCTAAACGGCAGTGCCACTAGTATGTTGCACTATCATTATCAACTTTGCATCTTTTGGCATAAATATTATGAATATGTGTATCACTACAATCGAGATTCAATAAACCACACCTTGGGTGTATGACCACAGAAGGTTTTATTCATGTAAACAGAATAACAATTATTCTTTGACTTAAATGAATATCCGTATTGCAATAAACATGATCCAATCATATTATGCTCAACGCAAACACCAAATAAAATTTATTTTAGGTTCAACACTAATCCCGAAGGTAAAGGGAGTGTGCGATTGTGATCTTATCTACCTTGGAATCACATCCAA